CTTCTGTGTCTGTGTTAATTGGTTTCCCTTTTCTTTGTTGAAGAGGGTCTGTGCAATCCTTCTGCCTAGTCCGCCATCTTGCCCCGCCTCCGGCTAGCTATACTTTTACAGAACTACAGTATAGTTATGAAAAGCAGGAAATTTAACCTTGATACATATTATTACCTGATGTGTAGTCCACATGCAGATTCTGTCAGTGGTGGCAGTAACGTTCTTAGCCTACACCGTCGCCCAGGATCCAATCTAGAATCATGTACTGCATTTAGTTGTCATGTCTCTTTAGTCTCCTTTAACCTAGAATATCTACCCTATTATAAATAGTCAACCCTGTTTTCTATAATCTTTGTCTTTCATGGCCTTGACCCACTTGAAGAGTGTGGGCCAGTTGTTTTATAGCGTTTCAATTTGACTTAGTCTGATGTTCTTCAGGATGAAGCTCAGGTATGTATATCGGTCAGGAATCTTATCAGGAGGCACACAATGACCACGTCTCTTTACTGATCGTGTTAACTTTCACTCTTTGGCTAAGGTGGGTGGACTCTACCAGGTTTCTCCACTGTCAAGTTACTGTTTTTCTCTGTGTAATTAATAAGCAATTTATTGTTGTTGTTAGGTGCCATTGAGTCAGCTCCGACTCACAGTGACCTTGCGTACGACAGAACGAACACTGCCCGGTCCTGCACCAGCCTCACACTCCTGGCTGTGCTGGAGCCCACCATTGCAGCCACGTTGTCAATCCATCTCGTTAAGGGTCTTCCTCTTTTTTGCTGATGCTCTACTTTACTAAGCATGGTATCCTTTTTTAGGGACTGGTCCCTTCTGACAGCATGACCAAAGTAGGTGAGACCAAGTTTGGCCATTCTAGCTTCCAAGGAGCATTCCAGCTGCCCTTCTTCTGGGACAGATTTGTTTGTTTCTCTGTAGTCTGCGGTATTTTCTGTATTCTCTGCCAGCACCAGGATTCAAAGGCATCAGCTCTTCTTCGGTCTTCCTTATTCATCGTCCAGCTTTCACATGCATATGAGGTGCTTGAAAGTACCATGGCTTGGGTCAGGCACACCTTAGTCTTCAAAATGACATGTTTACTTCTTAAAGGGTACGCCTAACCTAAGCCATGGTATTTTCAATTGGCTCATATGCATGTGAAAACTGGGCAATGAATAAGGAAGAAAGACCAAAGAAGAGTTGATGCTTTTGAGTTGTGGTGTTGGTGAAGAATCTTGAAAGTACCATGGACTGCCAGAAGAACTAACAAATCTATCCTGGAAGAAGTGCAGCTGGAATGCTCCTTGGAAGTAAGAATGGCCAGACTTCATCTCATACTTTGGTCATGTTGTCAGAAGGGACCATTCCCTGGAGAAGAATGTCATGTTTGGTAAAGTAGAGGGTCAGAAAAAAAGGGGAAGGCCCTCAATGAGATGGATTGACACGGTGGCTGCAACGATGGGCTCAGGTATAGCCAGGATTGTGTTCTGGTTCCCTAGTGCCACTCTGACAAGAATATACCACAAATGGCATGGCTTGAACAAACAGGAGTTTATTCTCTTACAGTTTGGAGGCTTTAAGTCCAAGTTCAAAATGCCAGGCTCTAGGGACTGGGTCTGACTCGACGGCACATAACAACAACAACAACAGGGACTGGGTGAAAGCCCCTCAGCCTTGGGCTTCAGCTCTGCTTCCAGCTTCTGGCCCACTGAAGCTGGAGGCTTTCTTTCACTAAGACAGCTGCTGGCTGTTGAGGCTGCCAAGCTCAAGGTTGACAAGTTAAAAGGCACAGTCCTGATGTTACCAAACATCATGGCAGGCCATTAATTCAAGTCCATTGTAAGTCCCCAGGTTGGCAGAGCATAGCGGGCTGTTCAACAATGACATGGCTACATGCAGGATCCAAGCATGCCATAAACTAGAGATTATCCCCAAGGCTTCTTATATATGGGAAGCAGACCACATCCCAAAGGCAGCTACTCAGCTCCTTGTGGTAGATCCCACATGGAGTTGATTGCCAGTCTCATCATGGGGAATAACTACCACCAGCTTCCCAGCCACTCAACCAGGCCCAGCCAAGCTGACACACAAATTTAACTACCACAGATTGTGAGACTGTCAGGGGCCAGGCAGTGTCTCATTCTGTTGTATATAGGGTCGCTATGGAGCCAACTTAACAGCACCTAATAACAACAAGAAGAAATATTACATTTAAGCAGTTTACAACTGTATTCATCACATATTATTCCATGATTGAAATTGATAATAGATATTACTAAAGATTCCGTATGGTCTAGTACAGGGGGAGGTCCATAGTGGGGGGTCACCATGAATTACCACACTGGATGACACCAACTATAGTGACACCACTGCCTGGTTACACAGGTATGTTCATGCTGTGCCCTGGGATGTGTGCACTTTTCTGGGTGGTCTATTTCCACAAACACAAGGTTAATGAACATTTACCTGGAGAAACTTTACAAAATGCTGGTTCTTCTGTACAGCCCTTGCTCGGAGATTCTGGAATGTGCCAGGAGGGCACATGGAACAGTGCCTGGTACCCAGAAAGTGCTCAGTAAATATGTGTTGAATGAATGGATGAATGGTGTGGTCTTAAGTGAGGCCTGTGCACAGGTTAAATTTTTAGTGATAATTTTTAATGTGTTCTCAGTGAAGTTTCACACAGCAGTTTCGGTTCCTATTCAACAGTTTCTACACAAGTTGTCCAGAGACATTGTTACATCCTTCACAGTGCATGAACTCTCTCATGATTTCTGTTCTGGTTGCCTTATTTCCGTTAATCTAGTTTCCCTGTCCCCTTACATTCTGTTCTTTGTTGGTAAAGTCAATGTCATGAGACAAAGTGTATGTGAGCTGCTGTATGGAAAGTGAATTTGCTCTGTAAACTTTCACCTAAATCACAATAAAAATTTTTCGAAAGTAATTGTTGATTGTTTGGTCACATATAGATCATTTTCTTAAAGAAGCACAGTGTTTACAGATGATTCTATTTTTTGAGCCAGTTTGTTATTCACAGATAAGTTTTTAAAGCTCCCCAGGTGACTGTAGTGTGTTGTTACTGGGTCTACCACTGCCTAAGGTGTTCAGACGGAGGGTGGGAGAGGACTAAAGCCACTGCCCTCCCAAGGCCAGGCTGTGTGCCCCACTCTAGTGGGAGGCACCTTCTTCCACCCGGAGGGGGACGTCTAAGGCTGAATGGTGGCTCTGTGAAGCAGGTCTTGGAGCAATGGCTCAGCGTTACCCTCTCCCCACAGGTTTCCCGTGTGGACGGCACCGTGGACACACCCCCCTGCCTGCGCCTGACCCACCGCACATGGGGCTCCCAGAACAGTCTAGTGGAGATGCTCTTTCTACGGATGAGCCTCCCAGTCCAGTTCCACCAGCATTTCCGCTGCACTGCAGGGGCCACCCCACTGGCACCGCCAGGCCTGCAGCCCCCGGCTGAGGACGAGGCCCGGGCTGCAGAACCCGACCCCGACTACGAAAACCTGCGCCGCTCAGCTGGGCGCTGGGGCGAAGCTGAGGGGGGCAAAGAGGGAACTGCCAAGGAGGGAGCACCCGGAGGCACCCCGCAGGCTGGGGGAGAGGCCCAGCCCACCAGGGTGGAGAATGAAAAGGATGCAACCACTGAGAAGAACAAGAAGAGGGGGTGAGTTGAGGGTGGGGCGAGACTCTGGGATATGAGGAGGTCTGCCCTAACTGACTTACTGCCTTCCAGACGATTTGACTCATAGCGACCCCTCCTTGGGTTTCTGAGGCAGTGTGTCTACAGAAGTAGATTTCCCAATCTTCCTTCCAAGGAGTGGCTGGTGGGTTTGAATCACCAGCCTTTTGGTTAGCAGTCAAATGCCTTAGGTATTACGTCACCAGAGGTCTGCCCTAGGACTCCCAATTCAGAAATCTTAATAACTTGAGAAACCCCGTTGTACCCCAAAGTGGCCCCATATATGCTAAATGGAGTCAAAATACTGGAAGATCCTATCACGACCCAAGTGAATGCCATTCTTGCCCTAAGATGCTCTAATTTCCCAGAGAATATAACACTTGGTGCATTGCACTATATCTGTGAAGAACTCCACTATCTTTGGGATCTTTGATAGGCCCCAAAGGGCTCTACCCAATAGACTCCATTATCCAGAAACACTAATGGGGACTTCAGAGAGATGACTGTACCCCCAAGGTATCCCAGTGAACACCAACTGGTCTTCTAAATTGGGTCCCTTTCTGTGACCCCAAGGACCCAAATGTACCTCTGAAAAACTAGAAAGACCCTCAGAAGGTATGAATGGAACCAAGTCTGTAGGATGCAAATAGTGCACCCTTGAGGGTGTTTGGAATGATGGAGCGTTTTTGGTTATCATGGTTTGGGGAGTCGCTGCTGGGAGGGGATCTCCAGGGGTTCTACATGCCTTGCAGTGTACAAGTCAGTGCCTCACTCCACGAATTGTTCTTCCCCAAATGCCTGTAGCACCCATATGAGAACTGCTGACTTAGGGGAACCACTCCATGCCTCATAGTCCCAAAAAGCATCTGTAAATTTAGTTTGTCCAGCATCCACAGACATGGAGTGCGGCACCTGCAGAATGCACCAGGTCGGTGCAGTTCAGGGCGCTCTAGAAACAAGTCCTTGGGTGTTAGAAGCAGGGTGTAGTTAGGATGGATGTGGAGGCAAGAATGGGAGTGCTGGGGGGTTGGACTCGAGACCTGGTTCTCACAGCAGCCTTTCCTCCCCACCACCAGGTTCTTATTCAAGGCCAAGAAAGCCGCCATGATGACCCAACCACCAGCCACTCCCACTCTACCCCGACTCCCTCATGATGTGGTGCCTGCCGACAACCGTGATGACCCTGAGATCATCCTCAACACCACAACGGTGTGAACCGGAAACACTTGGCTTTGGGACTCTCAAGCATAGGATGGGAACTCCCAAATTTCCAAATTTAGTGTTGCAATCCCCAATAACTGGCCATATCTGGTGATGCCCCAATGTGCCCTGGAAACCCACAAACTACAGCACACACTGATATAATCCTTTGAACCCAAAATCCATATAGCCAGGTGCCTGAAAATGGCAGGAACACGATGAAACTGTAAGTACACTGGTGTAACTCACAGGGATCCCAAAATTCGGAGGTATACCAATGTAGACTCAGAAAAAAACAAACCAAACTCACTGCCATTGAGTCGATTCCAACTCATAGAGCTCACCACTGGGTTTCTAAGGCTGTAAATCTTTACAGAAGTAGACTGCATCATCTTTCTCCCATGGAGTGGCTGCTGGGTTTGAACCACTGACCAAATGCCTTAACCACTCCACCACCAGAAGTCCTTAGACTAGGGACCCCAATATTTGGATTCACAGTATGACCCCAACACTGCAAAATTTAGGAGCTACTATAATATAGTGGGGAGCTCTGGTGGTGTAGTGCCTAAGGCATTTGACTGCTAACCAGAAGGCTGGCGGCTCAAACCCACCAGCCACTCCTCGGAAGGAAGACTGAGAAATCTACTTCTGTAGTGATACCACCTTGGAAACCCAAGGAGGGGTCGCTATGAGTCAGATCTCACTCGATGGCAAAGAGTGGTTTTTGGTATAATATATTGCTAGGAACCAAAAATTATAATTATCCCAATTTAATTTGGGGATTTCCAAAATCTAGAATATTTTATGAGACAAATAGCCTAATGGTTAGGATCATGGATTATATAGGTGCTACTTGACAAGTCATTTCACTGCTCTGTGCCTCAGTCTCCCCTTCAGAAAATGGGGATAAAGGATATATTCACCTAATGTGGTGGTTGTGAGGATTAAATGAGTTAATCCATGTGAAGACCTTAGAACAGTAAGTATTATTTAGATTTTAATTATTATTTTTATTTTGCTGTAACCTGGGATGAGCCCTAAATCTCAAATAGTCCCAAGGAGTTCCTGAATCCACAAATACATCAGAAGACAGAAACAGAGAGACAGGCCCAGGAGGTGCTAAATCCATCAACTACTTGTTAAGCTCCCAGAGGACCCCAGAAATTCAGGGAAACCCACTTACAGTCTCAGGGAACATCAGAATCCCCAGTCTTCCCACATTGACCACTGGTTCCCCTTTGCCTCCCCAGTACTATTACTCCGTGAGGGTCTTTGCCGGTCAAGAGCCCAGCTGCGTGTGGGTGGGCTGGGTCACCCCTGACTACCATCAGCATGACATGAACTTCGACCTCAGCAAGGTCCGGGCAGTGACAGTGACCATGGGGGATGAACAAGGCAACATCCACAGCAGGTGCTGGGGAGGGATGGGTACTGCAGGGAGGTGGGGGGGGCTGCCTGGTTTGGGACCTGGGCCTCTGGATCCTCTCTGGAGTAAGGAGGAGATTCCAAAGCTTCCCCTCCTCTTCTGTCTTCCTGCTTCTTTTCCTTTGATTGCTCCTGCTTTGTTTTTTCTCTTCCTCTTCTTCATTTCTTTCCTTCTTTTTTGTTTTTCCTTCCTCCTTCTACGTCACCTCCTTTCTTTTCTCTCTTCCCACTCCCCTTGCACTTCCTCCTTCCATAACTCATCACCATACCCCATCTCTTCCTTAACCCATCCCTCCATAACCCATCCCTCCATACCCCATCTCTTCCTTAACCCATCCTTCCATAACTCATGCCTCTATCACTGTTGTTGTCAAGTCGGACCCAACTCATAGCGACTCCTCCTTGGGTTTCCGAGGCAGTATCACTATGGAAGCAGATTGCCCAACCTTCCTCCGAGGAGTGGCATCACTAGCTTCTAAAAATTCTAGCTCTGAGTTGCTCAGGGTCTGGGTGACAGGTGCCAGTGCTCAAGTCTGCAGGTGGTGGATGTTTTGGGAGGGGCTTGGAGGTCATGGTCTTCTGGGAGCTCAGAAAAGGGGGTGTTTGGGGTCCAGAGCACCTCGGCTGAATGTCTGAGTAGTGACCACTCCTGTCTCCTCCAGCCTCAAGTGCAGCAACTGCTACATGGTGTGGGGCGGGGACTTTGTGAGTCCCGGGCAACAGGGCCGCATCAGCCACACGGACCTCATCATTGGCTGCCTGGTGGACTTGGCCACTGGCTTAATGACCTTTACAGCCAATGGCAAAGAGAGCAACACCTTCTTCCAGGTGAGTCCAACCTTCAGCAACTTGTCAGCATCCACATTAGCAACCCTCCCAGTCATCCCCTGACGCCAGATCCTGGAAAGACAAGACAAAAACAGTCCTAGCCCTGTCCTCAGGATCAGCCAGAGCTGAGAGGCCCCTGGGAGACTGCCTACTCAAACTATCTATTATATAAAATGGGTGAACTGAGGTTCCAGGAAGGAGGGGACAGAGCACAACCTTGACTTAGAGCTCTCTATTCCCCTTGGATGACACCATTACCACTTTTTCACCAATCAGTGAACACCTAGAATGGGCCAGAATCCTAAAGTGAGCTTTTACTTTTCAACATTCTATTATGGAATTATTCAGGCACTTGACTGCTAACCAGAAGGCTGGCGGTTCAAACCCACCAGCCACTTCTTGGAAGGAAGGTTGGGCAATCTACTTCTATAGAGATACAGCCTTGGAAACCCAAGGAGGGGTTGCTATGAGTCAGAATGACTTGACAGCAGTGAGTTTTGTTTTGTTTTTTGGTTTTATTTTAAATGCAAAATTTCAAAAAATACACAAAAACAGAATAGTACAATGAACCACCTGAGCCCATTACACAGCTTCAATTATGATCTGTTCACAGTCAGTCTTGTTCCATCTTTACTCCCTATTACCCTTCCACACCACAGGATGATTCTGAAGACTATCCCAGACATTATATTGTTTCATCTGTTTTCAGTATGAATCTCTAAAATACATGGATTCTTTTTAAACATGTAACCACAGTGCAATTATCATATCTTAAAAAAAAAAAAAAACAACTTGTACACCAATTCTCATTACAGTGCTATTCACAATAGCCAAAGGAGCTCTGATGATATAGTGGGTAAGGCATTTGGTTGCTAATAAGAAGGTTGGCAGTTCAAACCCACCAGCTCCTCTGTGGGGGAAGATAAGGCAATCTACTTCCAGAAAGATTTACAGTCTTGGAAACCCAATGGGGGTTGCTATGAGTCGGAATCAACTCAATGGCAGTGGGTTTTTTTGGTCACAGTAGCCAAAAGGTAGAAACAATCCAAGTGTTCAGTGAAAGATGAATAAATAAACCAACAAAATCTGCTACATACACACCCAAACCCAGACCAAACCAAAACCACTGCCACTGAGTCGAATCTGACTCATAGGGACCCTCCCTGGGTTTCCAAGGCTGTAAATCTTTATGAAAGTAGATTGCCCCGTCTTCCTTTTGTGGAGCAGCTAGTGGGTTTGAACTGCCAACCTTGTGGTTAGCAGCTAAATGCCTTATCCACTGCACCACCAGAGCTCATGCAATGGAATATTATTCAATACAAAGAGAAATAAAGTTCTGATACATGCTACAAACATGGATGAATCTTGAAAACATGCTGAGTGAAATAAGTCAGACAAAAGGACAAATACTGCAAGACCCCACTTATATGAAATATCCAGAGTAAGCGATTGTATAGGAACTAAAGCTTAGTGGTTACCAGGGTGGGAGGAAGGGGAGAGTGGGGGCTGTTGCTGAAGGGCACTGAGTTTCTTTGTGGAGTGATGAAAACTTGGGGATAGATAGTGATGATAGTTGCACAACGTGGTGAATGTAACTGATGTCACTGAATCGTACATTTAAAAATGGCCAAAAAGACATCATTTTTGTTATATATTTTACAACAATAATTTTTAAAAAATAATTAAAAAATAATAATTTTCAAACATCATCAAATGTCTCAGAATGTCGTTTTACCATTTGTTTGTTTGAATCGGAGTGTAAACAAGGTCCTATATTATAATTGTCTGTGGTGCCTATGGCACTTGACTGCTAACCAGAAGGCTGGCGGTTCAAACCTACCAGCCACTCCTCAGAAGGAAGGTTGGGCAATCTACTTCCATAGTGATACCACCTTGGAAACCCAAGGAGGAGTCACTGTGAGTCAGCTCTGACTCGATGGCAGTGAGGTCTTTTTTTTTTTTTAATGTTCCTTTAGTCTTATATATAGATTTTCCCCTCCATCTCTTTTTTTCTTGGATATTTACTTGTTGAAGAAGCCAGGCTCTTTGTCCTCTAGCCTCTGCTCCTCCTGGTATGGCCCTTGACAGGCATCACCAGCATCACCTGGGAGCTGCAGTGTGGTTTAGGGAGGAAACAATTAAGTAACCCCTAATAGTCCAGCATCTCGGGCCCGTCTGCTATCTGTGGAATCAGTGCCTGCCTTTTAGTGCTGTTCCGGGGGATACCTGTGCATAGCAAAGCCCGTAAAGCATTGGCTTGGTTTCCTCAGTCTGGATCTGGTCAGTGTGTCCTCATGGTGTCATTTTCACCATTTCTTCTGTCCCCTGTATTTCCTATGAATTGGAGTTGGGTCCAGAGGCATGGTTAGATTCAGGATTGGTGTTGGCAGGACTGCTTCAGAGATGGTGATGTTTGTGGTTGTGGTAGTTCAGTTTGTGTGCCAACTTGGCTGGACCTGGTTGAGTGGCTGGGCAGCTGGATGTAGTATTCCCCATGATGAGACTGGTAATCAACTCCATGGTGGAATCTACTGTAAGCATCTGAGTAGCTGCCTTTGGGTATGTGGTCTGCTTCCATGTATGTTAGCAGCTTTGGGAATGGTCTCTAGCTTATGACACCTTGAACCCTACATGTTGCTGTGTTGTTGTTCAGCAGCCTGCCATGCTCTGCCGACCTTGGGACTTACAATGGACTTGAATCAATGGTCTGCCGTGTGATTTGGTAACATCAGGACTGTGCCATTTTATTTGTCAACTTTGGGCTTGTTAGCCTCAGCAGCCAGTAGCTGTCTGAGTGAAGAGATGCCTCTAGCTTCAGTGGGCCGGGAGCAAGAGGCAGAGCTGAAGCCCAAGGTTGAGGGGCTTTCACCCAGCTCCTAGAGCCTGGCACTTTGAACTTGGACTTAAAGCCTCCAAATTGTAAGAATAAACTCCTGTTTGTTACATCCCATCTGTGGTATATCCTTGTTAGAGCGGCACTAGGTAACCAGAACAGTGGTGGTGGTGGAGACCAGGTGGGCTCTCCTGGAAATTTGGCAGAGGCTGGACAAAAGGAGGACAGACAGACAGTCAGAGGCTACTTTCTGGGTCCCAAAGAATGAGTACACTTGAGAGAGAAATAGAAATGGCACTCCTGGTGGAGGGACCCAGATGACAGGGTGCCATGGGGGAGGTGGCAGAGTTTGGCCTTGGTGGATCAGAAGGGGAGGCCCAGGGACAACTTCAAGGCTGCTGTTGAGATTTTAATGCCCAAGTTTGGATCTGCAGATGCCAACAGGGTTGGGATCCGAAGTCAATACCACCTTCAGTCCCACCCTCTTCCTCACCCCTCCCCCTTCTTCCTTCCTTCCAGGTGGAACCCAACACGAAGCTGTTTCCTGCTATCTTTGTCCTGCCCACCAACCAGAATGTTGTCCAGTTTGAGTTGGGGAAGCTGAAGGTCAGAGTGCAGTGATATGGGCGGGAGTGGGACAGGCTGGGGCAGGAGATGTGGGGTGGTCATGCTGACAAAGCGGCTAAGGGGAGGGGCAGTCCAGGAAGTCTCTTTGGAAGCAGGGTGGCGGACGGTCCGAGAGCTGGGAGTCCTGACCTGTGTGTGCCTGCATTTCCCCAGAACATCATGCCGTTGTCAGCCGCTATGTTCCTGAGTGAGCGCAAGAACCCGGTCCCCCAGTGCCCACCGCGCCTCGAGCTGCAGATGCTGATGCCTGTTTCCTGGAGCCGCATGCCCAACCACTTCCTGCAGGTGGAGACGCGGCGTGCGGGCGAGCGGCTGGGCTGGGCTGTGCAGTGTGAGGAGCCGCTGACCATGATGGCGCTCCACATCCCCGAGGAGAACCGGTCAGGGCCAGCCCGGACACACAGGGGTGGGGCAGTTACTGCAAGCCTCAGGGGTCTGGCTCCACCTCAGGTCCCCTTCTCCTAGAACCCTAGGGGTTGTAGACAACACCCCAGAAGGGCCCAGGCCCACCTCACAGGGCCCTAGACCCACCTCAGGGCCCCAGATCTACCTCAGGGACCCTAGACCCACCTCAGAGGACCCCAGACAATACCCCAGGGGACCCTAGAGCCACCCCAAACCCATCTCAGGGAACCCAGACCCACACCAAGGAACTTAGAAAATACCTCAGGGGACCCAAGTGTATATCTCAGGGAGTCCAAAACCTTATTCAGAGAGGCCCAGATGCACTCCAGGGTCTCCGGGATACCCAGGACGTCTTCAGAGATATCCCATGGAGATCTCAAACCCACTCCAAGGGACTTAAACACCCCCAGGGCTACAGATGTATTCACATGGCGGGCAGGAATACTCTAAGGACTCAGAAAATGGCCAGGAACCTCTAGCACGCCTCATTCTTCCCTTTATTCATTCATTAGATAGCACTGAGCTCCAGCACCATTCTAAGCTGGAGACACAAAGCCCTTGTGAACTGACATTCTAGTAATGCTGTGTAACTCAGGGTGCTCAGGCCTCCCCAAGAGAAGTCAGACCCCATCCCCAAGGTCCCCAGACATGACTCAGAGAGCCCCAGACACACCCATTTATTCATGCAACAAATATTTATTGATCGTTTACTACGTGGTAAGGAGCTCTGGAGGTGTAGTGGTTAAAGCATTTGGCTCTTAACCGAAAGGCTGGTGGTTCAAACCCATCAGCTGCTCTGCAGAAGAAAGATGTAATCTAGTTCCATAAAGATTTACCCCAAGGGGGTAGCCAGGAGTTGGAATCAGCTCTATGGCAGTGAGTTTATTTTTAGGTTTTAGGCTCTGTTTTAGCTTATGGGGATATAGCAAAAAACCAAACGTCCAGTTCTCCTGTAGTTTACATTCTAGTGGTGCTCAACCTGCCGCAGGGTTCTCAGACTGAATCTGGGGATCCCAGATACCTCTCAGGGTCACAGCCTTCTCCATGGGCTCTCAGATATCCCAGGGTCCCAGACCACCCCAGGGATGCATTCCAAGGGGGCATCCAGGCCTCCTGGGGCTTCCAGAGCCATTGAAAGAATCCTAGACCCAGCCTCATAGACCCTTTCACTGAACCCAGCCCCAGCGGGACACTGGGAGTCCCTGCTGGAGCCACCAGCTCTCACATAACCATCTCTTTGCCTCTCTGTGGTCTGTATCTCCCACCTCTCCTCCCCACTCTGCCCCTGTCTGTGTTCCCCACCTCCACTGCAGGTGCATGGATGTCCTGGAGTTGTCGGAGCGCCTGGATCTGCAGCGCTTCCATTCTCACACCCTGCGCCTCTACCGCGCTGTGTGCGCGCTGGGCAACAACCGCGTGGCGCATGCGCTGTGCAGCCACGTGGATCAGGCGCAGCTGCTGCACACGCTGGAGGACGCCCACTTGCCGGGCCCGCTGCGGGCAGGCTACTACGACCTCCTCATCAGCATCCACCTCGAAAGCGCCTGCCGCAGTCGCCGCACCATGCTCTCTGAGTACATCGTGCCCCTCACGCCCGAGACCCGCGCCATCACGCTCTTCCCACCTGGCAAAGGCGCTAGTAACGGCCCTTGCCACCACGGCCTGCCTGGCGTGGGGGTCACCACCTCGCTGCGGCCCCCACATCATTTCGCACCCCCCTGTTTCGTGACGACCCTGACGGCTGCTAAGATGGTGGATGACCCGGCCCGCCTCAGCCCCGCCATCCCTCTGGAGGCCCTGCGGGACAAGGCACTGAGAATGCTGGGGGAGGCGGTGCGAGACGGTGGGCAGCACGCACGCGACCCCGTCGGGGGCTCTGTGGAGTTCCAGTTTGTGCCGGTGCTCAAGCTTGTGTCTACTTTGCTGGTAATGGTTTCTTCCTGCTTCCCTCTGTCTCATTCCACATTCCTAATAGTCCATCCATGTGTACATCAATCTCTCTCCCATTTATGCACCCGAACACCCATTGACCTCTCCATCCATCCATCCATCCACCTTTCAATTTACCCATCAGCCTACCCATCCTTCCCTCACCTTTACTTCCATCCCTTCATCCATGTTGACATGTTAGTCACATGTTCAGTCATCTCTTCTCCTTTCTTTTCATTCATCATTCCAACCATCATTCTTCACTTAACCGTCCAGCCGTCAGTCCATCCCTCCTCTCCCCACCTTTCCATCCATCCATCCGTTTTCTCATATCGATATCCATCCATACATGTATCCATCTATCCACCTTTCAGTCTACTCATCCACACATCCTTCCATTCACCGATGTTTGTCCATCCCTCACTCCATCTATTGACCTACACATTTTATTACTCTTTTCTTCTTTCCTTCCATCTATTCAGTCCTCCTCCTCCTGCCTGTTAATCCATCCATCCGTACATCCATCTATACACTCATCCACTTTTCCATTCATTTACCTACCTGTCCATCCATCTGTACATTGCTCCAGCCATATACACCCATCCACCCACCCACCCGTCCATCTATCCGTCCTTTATTTCGTGTATGTATTTGTTCATTCACCTGATCATTCATCGTATATCCATCCATCCAGCTTTCCATACAAACCCCGTATATTCATCTACTTTAGCCCACACTCATGGTTATTATTTGTCTGTTAACCTGTCCTCTCATTTGTGTGCTCACACATTGATCTACCCATCCATGCGTCTGTCCACATCTACACATTATTTATTCTTCTGCCACCTTTCCACCTTCCATCCCTTCCTCACCTTTTCCTTAATCTCTGCGTCTAGTGTCCACGCATGGAGTCTCTTCCCTTCAGACTCCTACCATTCCATCCGTTAATTCATCTGTCCAGCCACCTACCCCTCTCTCTACTCATCCACTTCTCTTTTTGTCTCTCTCTCTCCACTTTTCTTCTCTTTCATCTGCCTTCTCTCTTTCCATGTATTAGCACCTTCATTATGTTGACTGAGAGTTGGTATATGCTGGGAGGTATAAGGAGCGCCGAGGGCCTCCATCAGGTGGAGGATGGGCCTTTGTCTTAGAGCACATATGCTCACGCTTGGGAGGAAGGACACTGACCTGTGATGGGAGAGGTCCTCATGTTTAGCTGTGTGGTCTGGGCCATGTGGATGTGACACAGGACGTGGACCTGAGAGGATGTCAAGGGAGTGGATGACAAGGCAGGGAGATGCCATTCCTGCTTATCAGATGAGTCATAGAAACTAACGGAGGAATGAATCTGTCATGCGTAGGAGCAGCAAGGCTGGGAAGTGAAGCCGGGATCGGATTATGGAGGCCTTTCAGGCAACAGTGAAGGATCCAGACTTTTTCCCATAGGTGATGGGTGTCTTTGATGATGAGGATGTAAAACAGATCCTGAAGATGATTGAGCCTGAAGTGTTCACTGAGGAAGAAGAGGAAGAGGAGGAGGAGGAGGAGGAAGAGGAGGATGAAGAAGAGAAGGAGGAGGATGAAGAGGAAGAGGCAGAGGAGAAGGAAGATGAGGAAAAAGAAGAAGATGAGGCAGCAGAAGGAGAAAAAGAAGAGAGCTTGGAGGAGGGGCTGCTTCAGATGAAGTTGCCAGAGTCCGTGAAACTACAGGTGGGTTGTTCCTGCGTGTTTTCAGCCTCGATCTGTCTGGGTAGGGAGTCACAGAGCCTAGTGGCGCTTGAGGAGTCTGGACCTGTCCTGAGGCAGTGGGGAGTTGAAGTGCATAAAGCAGTACAGTGATGGAATGTTGGAATGGTCCCTCTGGTTGCCATATGGGAGGTGAATTGGAGGGGTGAGATTGTGGAGGAGGCTGGCACAAGGACCCAGGCAGCAGAGAATGGTGGATGGATCAGAGCAGGGCCTTGAGGAAGGACAAGACAGCAAGAAAGGTTTCAAGGAAGTTTTGATAATGGTCTCCCCACCATCCCTCCTATGGCATGGCTGTCCACCCACAGATGTGCCACCTGCTGGAGTATTTCTGTGACCAAGACCTCCAGCACCGTGTGGAGTCCATGGCAGCCTTTGCAGAGCGCTATGTGGACAAGCTCCAGGCCAATCAACGGAACCGCTATGGCCTCCTCATGAAAGCCTTCACCATGACTGCAGCTGAGACTGCCCGGCGTACTCGCGAGTTCCGATCCCCACCCCAGGAGCAGGTACCTCTGACCCCCTGGCAGATCTTACTGTCTAAACCCCAACTTCACCCTCTTCTCATCTTCTGATGACTGATGGTACTCAACCGCTAAGCCATGCCTGGTCTTTGACCCTAGTGATACATTCTTCCCTTACTCCAATACCTTTCTCTGAATCAACCTGACTTTTGAGTCACTTGACCTTTGATCCCGACCCCTTTCAAACCTCTGGCCCTTGTCTCCCATATCTTCTTCACTAACATGCGTTTTGACTCATGACCTTAAATTGGGACCCACGATTGCACCTTTGGTCCTTGACCACAGAGTTCTTGATCTGGGGTCTTGGACCATTATTCTGACCTTTTGTCTGATCATCCCCTAGATCAACATGCTATTGCAGTTCAAAGATGGTGAAGATGAGGAAGATTGTCCTCTTCCTGAGGAAATTCGACAGGACTTGCTTGACTTTCATCAAGACCTGCTGACACACTGTGGTAAGGAGAGGGAATCACAAAGAAACACACCTTACTCACCTTTCTCTTGAGATCGCTACTGAAGTTTCCCTGGGACTTCCTGACCTTAAACATCTACAGTAGTGCTAAGTAACTGTTGGTAAAATGAATGAATGAATAGATATTTCAATGAACAGATGGATGATGAATGGAAGGTTATGTTTATATGGGTCTTTGGGTGGAAGGATGGATGGATGATGGCTGTTGACAGGTGAATGTAGAGGTTTGTGAACTGATGGAAAGAAGTGATGAATGAAGAAATAGGTAAAAAAAAAAAAAAAGCTGAATGGATAGCTGGATGCCAAGGTGGATGAATGACCTCTATTGTTTCTCATGAGAACTCAGCTGCTAATTTTGTTGAAGTTCCAGTGTACGTGGTGAGTTATTTTTCTCTGGCTGCCTTTGAAATATTTTCTTTGTCTTTTGACAGTTTGAGTATGATGTGTTTAGGTGTAGGAGCTATTTGAATATATCCTAGTTGGATTTCATTGAACTTCTTGAATATGGAAATTAATATTTTTCATAAATTTTGGGCCATTATTTCTTCAAATATTTTTTTCTGGGATTCTCAATTTTTATATATGGGTATACTTGATGTTATACCATACACCTCTGAGACTTTGTTCATTTTTCTCCATTCTTTTATGTTTATGTTCTTCAGACTGGATAATATCTAATGTTTTATCTTTAAATTCATTGATTCTTTTTCTTACCAGCTCAGATATGCTGGTGAACCCCTCTAGTGATTTTTTATTTCAGTTATTATACATTTTGTCTCTAGACTGACTATATGGGTCTTATTTTTTATATTATCTATTTCTTTATTGGGAGTTCTGGTAGCATAGTGCCTAAAGCACTTGACTGCTGACCAGAAGGCTGACGGTTCAAACCCACCAGCCACTCCTCAGAAGGAAGATGGGGCAATCTATTTCTGTAGTGATACTGCCTCAGAAACCCAAGGAGGGGTCGCTATGAGTCAGGTCCGACTTGATGGCACATAACAACAACAACAACAATTTCTTTATTAATATGCCTTATTTGTTGAGTTATTCTGGCTTTATATCTTCCAAGACATACTTATTTATTCTTCTGGCAGTCTATGGAGGATTTGGTATTCTTTGCTAACACTATACTTCAAATGCATCGGTTCTTCGGTCTTCCTTATTCATTGTCCAGCTTTTCCATGCATATGGGGCAATTGAAAATACCATGGCTTGAGTCAGGCAAAGCTTAGTCCCCAAAGTATCATCTTTGCTTTTTAACATTTTCAAGAGGTCTTTTGCAGCAAATTTGCCCAATGCAATACATTGTTTGATTTCTTGACTGCTGGTTCCAT